GTCTGAATTGAGCGATCAATTATTAGACCCGGACGTCCCAACACTTGCTTCGCAAGACAAACTCAAGGTATCCCCTAAAGGGCTACCTTTTAACACTACAAAACCAGATCGTGCCCATGTTTGACTTGGTCAAACGGACTTCCATTTAACCCTATGATACTTCAACTTCATCCTCTTTTTGGGACCACTGGAGTGAAGGAAATTCCGAATCGCTCAGGTCACCGGTTACCTCGGTGAAGACGGAAGAACCCAGGGACCTGTCGACAGAAATAGCATCTTACTTAGGTGATGCGGGGTGTTCAAAAAATCATCTGCTGGGAGTTGGAAGGTGGAAAGAATGTCCTCTTAGACTCGACCCAAGGAGTCTTTCGTTTGAGTACCTGGATTCCCATGGTCAGCCCTGCCATGGTCGGTCCGGCCTACAAAGAGTCCAGTGGTGTGGTCGCAGACGTACTCGGAGGAGCCCCACAAGGGTCGGATGCATTCCACGGTGCAGGTGCCTCCTCAGTGAGCGGGGTGGGGGATATGAGGCGAGAACCGGGGACGTGTTCGCGCATGACAGGGTTCCGGGTCACGACATGGTCCGGCACGGCGCTTGGGGAGGGGGGGTGGTGTTGGGTTTCGGGGGCAAACAAGAGAAGCGCCCATCAATGAGCTTCTCAGCTTCGAAGCAAGCTCCACAGACTGGGACGTCTTGAAAACAAGTGGCACGGGCTTCCGGGAACAGATTTCAACCACGGCCCCGGCACTGCCCCGTAACTGCTTCACGCTTAGGGCGTGACAAACTCTTCGATCCGAGCACGCATCGGGGGTGTCTCAGTTCTGGTGGGGAAGGGGGGGGTGAAGGGATTCTCCGTTCACCATCTTCGCTCCCTGGAGGACTGAGGTCCCCTGCCGCTGAAGACAAACTGGCAGGAGCTGGTCTCGTAATCCAGCGGCAACCCGCCAAAGCATTGTTTCTGGGCCGCGGGGGGGAGGCTTTTCCGGTGGGCCGAACGCTTCACCGGACCTGGGAGATAGGATGTTATCTCCCCCACAACCTAGTCAGCAAGCCACCAGGGCTCTTGATATGGAGGTTCATTCTTCTTCTCACCCCCACAGTAAAGGAATTCGGCTCCAAGAAAAGGGCCACGGAGCCTCTTCAGAGTCCAGTGATGGACCCTTCAACGGAGGGAGGGCTCTGTTGGACAAAGGGAGGCATTGAAGTTGAGTCTCCTCTTTCCACCTGGACGACGAATTCTCAGCTTCTCCAAGAGTGGATTCAGTGAAGCTTTGGGACATCAGGGACAATGGTCGGAAAGGGGGCCAGATGCCAACTAAGGAAGGATGACGCCAAAACGGACATGGTCGGACCTGTTCCACGAAGGTCAGCTGATTAGCTGATTCTCTGTGTTATGTAAAAAACATATATATGTAAATAAGAGATTGCTTGCAATCTCAGGTAACTGTGGAAGACTCTTGTGCCCGAAACCCTTCAAGTACAGTGTGGCTTCATCTCAAGTCCGGTGATGTTTGGTTGTGACCCTGACTCCTGTGCCTTCTCAGACATCATGCCAATGTCTGCACTGCCCATGAAAGCCAAGATGGGGGTTCCCCATGTCACAACTTTCTTGGTCGTCCCAAGAATGCTCCAACCGAGCGTTCACGTGTCACCTCTCAACAGAAAGAGCTCTCCCAAAAAGGGGTTGCCTGTCCAAATCACCAGACCGACGAAGCGAACCTCATGAGTCCTCAGTTGAAGAGTGATTCCAACGGCTTCGGCTTCGGCTGACTGGGACTGGGTCTGGTCAGTCAACACTCTTTTCGAACCTCTTCGGTCATAGACAACCCCCAAGTGCCGGGGCCCAAAACGGGCTCCAGGGCCGGGACGTGGGGATCTCGAACGGTCCCATCTGTCCAACCAGGGCACCAGCGCTGTCCAGGTCGCTGTGGTGTAGGTCACCGTGGTACCTACGGATCGAAAGGTGTCGAGATGGACCCCAGGCCCAGAGAAGTTCAGAACCACTGTGTTTTTGACCATAGGACCACCTATAGACCTACCTGGGAGACCTGGAGAGTCGAGACAGGTTCTTCAACCTCCCACGTTGGATGCTTCGCCCTTTCGCAGACCCCCGTTGGCCAACGACCACCGGTCGTGTCGAAGGACCGCCCCCAGCCTTTCGGCTTCCAGCAGCGCGGTGGGGAGGGGTGACCGTTCGGTCACCCACACGAGCACCCCCATGAGCTCAGTCAGTGGAGGTTTGGGCGGGAAATTCCAGGATGAGAATCTGAAGGCAAAAAGGGTCTCGGCCAGTGAAGCCAGGGCTTTTTGTTGTGCCTCCAACTCTCGCACGAAGAGTGGCTGTTGAAAATTCGGCGCGCTTGCTTCCACTCGCAGAAGAAAAAGCCTCCTCCAAGTCCACCCCGGGCACCACTTCCCCACCTCCCCCAGTGCCAACGTGTCAGGCACATCGCGACCCTATCACATCGCCTGTGAAGCTGACGGTCGTGCTGGTCACCGTCGTCACCGAGGTGCCTATCGCCGTCGGTGCTCGGTTCGTCCGAACGCGGTCCGCCCCGACCGCAGGGCCAACCCATCGACGCATTGCAAGCTCTGATCTCCCCAAAGGTTCGGTATAGAAGCTATGCATCATAAATCGATATAACCCAAACACTCCATGAGACTGGCATATTGACGGATCAGTTGGGGTGGTTGAAAAGGGGTCAATGTATGTAAATATGCAATACAGTGTCTGGGAGGCTGACTGGTGTGCTTTCGGTGGATTTCAGTCGGAATACCACCCCTTTTCGGGGCTCCAGCCATATCCTCAGGTGATTAAGACCCCCAGTGACCCACCCCAACCACCTACACCGAAAACGGAGGCACCGGTCCCCGCACCCCGTGCTTCGGACGACCACAGAGCCTGTCACCGTGCTGGCGCTCGTCGTGCCTGGGGAGGAGAGGGATCCAGTGAGAAAAACACATGCCCCACAAGTCCAGATCACGGGCCTCGCATTGTTCAACCAGTCTGACTGACCTGACTGACCTGACCTGGTTTGGGGGTCCCGGTCTGACCGCGGTCGGCCCAAGGATCACCAGCCGACCCTTCACACTGACAGGTCACTGACAGTGAACCTGGTGCAGAAAAAGCAACAGAGGTTAAGTGACCGCGAATAGGACCCTACTGGGGTACCAAACTGGGATAGTCTATAGGGTCATTCAACCTCTGTTGGAAGAATCGAGGAACGAAGACGACGAAGACCCCAACAGTTGGAGACCTTCTGTTTCTGACCAAACTCTTATTTTTCTGAACCTTCCCCAGGGGTGTCTATAAATAGCCTCCTAGAGGTGATTTGGGGCCCACCAACAAGGAAGGTCCTGGTAGGAGAATTCACTCAACAAAGGTTCTGTTTCTCGTTCCCTGCTATTCCCTGCTTTCATGCGTACATGCTTCAGCCCTCAGCCTTGGAATCACCTGCCTCGCCCGTTCTTCTCCACACCTAACGCCCATCCACGACCTCTGGCGCCGATCCAACACCCTTCCTCGTGCCCGAGCGGCCGGTCACACTCGTGCCCGTCACGCTCGTGGTTCCTGACCGCTCGGGTAGGCACGGCCGTGGACCGGCGAGCCCGTCACCCCGAGCTGCGCAACCGCCCCCGACGTCCCGTGGAACCTCAAGGTGATCCGTTTCGACCAGTCGAAAGGCGTCCCCCCCACGATCCGGAGGTCCGGAGGACCAGCTCCACACCCACCTGGTCCACCCGAAAAGAAGCAACAGCCCCCCTGGCCTGTCACCGTGGTCCAGGTGCTGGTGACCGTCACCGTCTGTGTGGTCGCGGTGCCGGTGACCGTGGTGCCAGTGCCGGTGACCGTCGTGCCCGTCACGGTGCTGGTCTCGGTCGAGCTCACCGTGCTGGTCACCGAGGTCGTGGTGACGCTCGTGGAGGTCTCCTCCACGCTGGGCGGCGTCCTGCGGCGGCGGGAGCCACCGATCCCGGCGCGGGTGACGGTGGAAGACCCACGTAGGGGTGGCCCAGAACGTCGGTTTGCACTCCGTTGAGGCACCATCTGGAAGTCCATCCGTCCACCACAACCATAGCTGAGAAACGAAATGAGTCATGACTGGACTCGAAAGGGGTCATGTTACGGAACTGGCGACGTGAAAATGATGGTGACGATGACATATTGAACAGCTTCTGTTTGGCTTTTACGACTCATGCCAGCTCTGTCTTTCGGTTGCGTATGCCACTTCAGGAGCTGCTTCAGTGAACCGAGAAAAATAGACCCCAAGTCCTGGAACCAGTGCCCTGCGTTGTCCAGAACACTTGTGGACCTACACACGACCTACATCACTCAACCACCTACCACAACATCCACGACATCCACAAACCCCAAAAACTCCTCACATCTGACCACCAATTCCACATCCACCCACTCCATCCACCTCCATCGCCATCGCCCCGTCCAGAAGAAGTTGAAGAATCGACTCTCTACCGTGTCCACGCAGCGGCCGGAGCCAAACAACGGCCGCCAAGTGCAGTTCGTGGTCATCTCGCACTGCGAGGCGTCCTGGACGGAGGACGGAGGATTGCGCCTCCGGACTCGGCGACATGGACGGCGAACGGTGGAGACGAGGACGAGGGCAGCTGGCAGCGAGCTCGAACGAATGGGGGGCTGGGTGCCATTTGGGAGCCGATTCCAAAGGGCGCCGATCCGCTCCCCGCCCCGCCATGGGCATGGCGAAAACCACGCGCTCCTCGATGATCTTCCCACAGTGGGTGATGTTGCCTGCCATGGAAGGTCAACAGCCAAGCGGAACTGAGCAGGCATGATTTAGGTTTGAGGAGATGTGTGTGCTTTTTCTTTGTGAATCCAAAAAGGAGGTACCGTCACCGTCCTGTCAGGGTGTCCAATGGAATAATTACCATGGAATACTATTAGTAAAGGTCAGACAGGACATCCCTGGAAGGTCCAGGTCCTTTGCAGTATGAACCAGAAGATGACCCACACCGAAGACGACGAAGACCCACCACCCTCTGACACATCGAGAACGGACGAGAACTCCAGGACGTGTGAGACGCCCACCGCGTCTCTCCTCTTCGAAGAACTGCCCCAGTTGTTCCGGAGAACCGCCCCTCCTCCAGTTCTCCTCATGAGATGCCATGATGACCCCTCCTTCCGAACCGAGTCCATGCCAAGGCACTTGCGATCACGGTCTTCTGCTCCTGGAAACGAGTAGCGGTGGACACGAGTGGAGCGGCCGTAGCGGTGGAGGCGAATAACCAGGACCCACTCCGCTGCTCCAAGATCTCTAGAGGCACCTGCCTCGTTCGTCTGAGGTCGGGAACCAGGTGTCCTTTGGACGCGAGGAACGGGAAGGTCCTGATGGATGTGATATGATCTGATGATTGGACTGGAAACACCATTTAATCCTTTGCTGGATCCTTTGCTGGGCGAGTTCGGAGCTTGGTAAGGCCCAGTGATTCCCTTCGTGTCCACCCACCGAAAACCCACCGACTCCAGCGCCCCGTGAGCTCGCGCTTGCTCGGTCTTCGTGCGGGAAAAGAGGTCCCCAAACGATGCAGCCCCCCGTGGTCCGAAGGGGTTTTCTGGTGGCTACCGGCCCAAGACCCCGGAAGTCCCAAGAACAGGTAGCCTGGAACATCTGGTTGCCTGGAACAGGTAGCCGGCCCGTCTGGCCCGTCTTGGCCAAGAACATCTGGTGGCCCAAGAAGTTCCAACGAACCAATGGACCAACCAGTCGGACACACATCGTTCGTTCCTGTCCGTAGTCCGGACCGGCCCGTCCTCGGTGTAGACCGAGCAATTTCGGGTATCCACCTCGTGCGCCGTGGCGAGGATGCCCCAGGAGCGCGCGCCCAGGCGCTCCTTGTTCTTCGGCACCTGGGGAAAAGAAAGACGTCTCAGCCTGCAGTGGATCTTCCGGGACAAAATGCAGATGTATGGTCTTCCAACTATGCCAGGTTCTTCTTGGGATGTATGAAACCAGCCAGGTTCTGCAGACCTGTTGCATTCTTTTTTAGGTCGAGTACCGGGCCCCCGGGAGTCGGGCCATGTGATGTTCGGAGGGAACCAGATGAAGAAGTGCCTCATACTCTAAAGCCTGAGTGACCTCTCTTTGGATGGGAAAAGACCAGATTTGGGGATGATTGGTGATCCAAAATAGAGGTCATTCAGGCTCTAGGTGTATATATATATATATATATACAATGTTTTTCGAAACAGGTGAACCGGTGAAGCGGTTCTTCACTGGCTCTTCACCTCATCTCGAGAAGCGATGATGTCGTCGACCACACCAACGTGGAACCCACCGAAGGTTTCTCTGGTGGCCAACCTTGCAAAGTCGGTGTCACGTCGGCCAAATTCTGTGATTAGGTGAGAGGGACACCAGCTCCATAGCCGTGTTGGCAACCATGTCAACTTCGGCTTCTGCTTCTTCAATCCATCGCTCCAAGAATGTGTGAACTCCAGGACCCGCTGGGCCCGCTGGTGATGTCACCCTGTTGTTGATCGATAGATATGATGCAAACAGATCCTGGTTCACGTGTCTCTTCCCAGTATTGGACCACCGACCACGGCCCCCATTCGCTTTGGTCCCAGCTTACTGGCTCCATTCTCAAAACATCTCAAAACGAACTTACTCAGAACCCTTCCCAAAATACCAAGTGCAGGAAACATAAGGAAAGGGGATGTCAACTCCCGAATCTCCCCAGCCAAACTCCCTTCCCTACAACCAAGAGCTCGCTGCCCCACAGAGCTCGCTGCTCCCGAACTGACTTTCCCAGCTGTGAAAAACCCTGCGCAGGGCTCAGACGACTCCGACTGAGTCTGGACGAAAAGAAGCCTCCGGACTTCACTGCCCCCATACAATGCTCCTCGTCTCCACGCGTAGTTCCAGCTGGACCCAAGCCCCCTTTTCCCCAAAAAGAATGATCGACTCCTGTCCTCCAGTCAGCAGCTCTTTGGGGGGATCGGACCTGTGTTTCAGACCTGACAACAGACCGGTCTGGTGAGGTCTCCACGGACGTCTCGACGTCTGAAACCTCAGTTTCATGGCACGAAATTGAAGGGCTCGTCGGTAATCGAGATGGCCCAGGCCTCGAAAATGGCTCCCAGCTCGCGGCAGCGGGGCGGAGGGGAGTGACGGGGAACGACGTTGCGTCCGGGGGCCGCGGGCAACATGGGGAAGATGAGGTCTGGGTGGTAGATGAGGTCGGTCCGCATGCCCCGCGACTCATGGGGACGACTCATTTTACTCCACCTGGAAGTGACAATCCACCACTACCAGTTCAGGATACATCAAATGAGTCGTTTTCCTGGACCCTCAGGCTTTTCTGGTTTGCGCTTGGTACTTGGTGTAAACCCATGGATCCACTGGTGTGAAAGTTCCAGGCAAATCAATCCCCCAGACACTCCACCCTCATATGCAGGGGGTCGGCCCTCAGAAATCCCCCAACGGGTGTCTAACCGTGTCTAACCGGGCTTTTTTTCGAAAACTGCAAGCACTTCCTGAAAAAGAGGCCGGTGTAATACACATGAAAACGGGACATGAAATGTCAAATGCATAGTTCGAAGACCTTTGTTAGGCGGTCATGTCCCCAACTAGACAGAATGGATCCTCAAGGCATCCTTCTGTGTATATGTGTACCCTGGAAGTCCGTTTGACCATTCTTAAAAGGGTTGATCTGGTTTTGTCGTGTATCCTTCGTGATTCGCCACGGTGGTTCGGGATTCATGCTTTCCAAGATGGTTTTTGTGGTCGACTTCGGTGGTTTTTCCGTCTGGACCATGGACCATGTCACCGGCAGCTGTTATGTTCGCCCAGGTGATGGGGCGTTCTGCGAAAGACCGGTCTTCTGACCGAAACGCTTCGCTTCACTGGGATGGTGCGCAAGGCCAAGCTTAAACCCTTTGAATAGCTGGACCTGAAAAAAGGGGTGTCCTGGCTGGAGATCCGTGGTGGGCTGGGGCGAAACCAGCCAGGTGACCCCAGAATGAAGGTGCTGGTAGGGGATAATGATTGATAGGATTAGTGTATACTGATTGGTCTGACTGGTTCTTCACGGTGCTTGGTCCTTGCTTTCTGTTACCACCGACCGACCAGTCTCCACCGGTCTCCACGCGCCTCGTGTCACGCGTCTCGTGTCCACGGAAGTGTCACGTGTCACGCACCGGGCGGCCATGAAGGCATCCGCAGTGATGCCGTTCACAAGGCCACAGCTGTCATAGGTACCCAAGTTACCTCACATGAAAAAAAGTCACTGATCGTGCAAAAGAAAAAGAACATAATATATATATATATATATATTGTTTTTTTGAATACAATAAAAACCACCATAAAAACACCCTTCCCAACGAAGACTTCACACCTGTTGGATCCATTCACAAGCACTGAGTTCGGCCGGGAGGCTCGCCACGAGTTTGAAGGCGTCGCAGAAGCGCAGGAACTGCTCCGTTTCGAAGACGGTCTCCTGGAGCGCCGCGCCGAGCGGCGGACGTCTGGTCCCTAGGGACCGACCATCGAGGGGCACTCAGATGGGTCGGCCCACCTGCTGAGGTTCGGTGGGACTGGAGTGGTGACTGGTCGCACCGGAAGCTGAGGAGATGGGCCATGCAGGAGCCCTGCTCCTAGTAGTAAGGCACTTGTTACTACTAGTAAGGCACTTGTTCCTAGTAGCGATGCACTTGTTTCTAATAGCTTCTTGTTCCTACCTAGGGAGAAATCCTCTTCGATCTGAAGCTTTTACCACTCGACCCAGAGATGCACTCGAAACATGTGCGTTTCTTCCCATCTTCCCTCCCCATTCGATGCCAAGCGACGAAAATGTCTTGGTGATAGTTCAGCTTGACACCGAACAAGGTCTCAGCCTCCTCGAGTTCCTGAGCCACGTGATGCGGACAACGCCACACCCGCGCCACACCCGAGAACAGCACTCGTGCCATGCGGTGCGTCATGTGAGTCAGGAACGCGCCCTGCGCCATTGTCGGCCCCACCGCACCACGCCACACCGTCCCTCCCCCAAATGCGTCACTACACCGCACCGGAGGGGAGAGTGCGCCCAGCGGCCGCGGTGCACGTGGTGGTGGAGGTGCAGTAGAAGCTCTCGGCAGGGATGTAGGGCAAGACAGGCTTGCCTGATGACAACGGCGCCTTCGCCCGTGCATCCACCGGGTTTTTTGGGCAAGTGGGTCTCTTGAGGAACTTCTTTGGAACCAAAAAGAGGAAGAACAATTCAGCTTCGCCAACAGGTCTCTTTCGAGAAGTGCCGCTCTTCTGTCCTCCGCGCCCCACCGGGGTCTCCCTCCCCTGCTCCGACCGGTCGCCCGCCTGCCGCGTCCACGAGCACGTAGATCGGCGCGGCCAGCACGGCGTGGGAGTCCGCGAAGGTCACGTACCTGGCGGACGGTGCCGCCGGACCGGACGGGACGGGTCAGGAGGGCGGAAGAGACAAAGGGAGGAGGTGGGATGGTGCCTCCAAGAGGGTTTAGAAGTTTAGAAAGAAGAAATGGATGGAAATGGAGCACATCAGGTCAATGTCTTTTAAAATTGAGAACGCTTGGTGAACTAAGCCTTCCCAAAAAAGGCTGAAGTCGTTTCAAAGAACGAACTCTCGGCACATCGCTCGATCAGACGGGGGCACTTGGTGGTCACCCTCTGCGCCAGCTCGCAGAAGGCGCTCTCCCAGGGCTCCGTCTTCCGAAAGCCCTCCACGACCGTCGGGCCTCACGATCCGGTCCAATCGCTCCAAACGAGACGACCGAGACGACCGTCGCGGTCCGGACGGCGCGGTGCGTCTGCCGACCGCGACGCACTGCACGGGCGCGCCTCGCGTGGTGGAGATCTCGATGCTGCCCTCGAGGCCCTGGTCGTCGCCGATCACCAAGATCTTCCGGAAGGGATGCGACGCGTAAAAGGACGCCACCAGCGCACCTGAATGCGGCGCTTGACTTGTAGGGGAGGAGAAAGCAAACACTCTTAAAGAGGAGCGGAGGAGAGCGGAGGAGAGCGGAGCTGTTGGGGACATGGATGGATTTGAGCTTTGGACCGGCTTGCACCAGTGTCTACTTTTTCTACGAGGTGTTCCAAAGAATGAAATAGATGTCCAATGCCATAGATACAACATGATACAACATACAGTATCTATGGCATTGGATATGTACCTATCCTCCAGTGGTTCCACTGGTTCCAAGGATGATGTTGAAGGACCGAACCTGCCTGTACTGACATGCATTTCACTCCTGTATTCACTCCCATTGTACCATTGTACCAACAAAGCCTGTCAAAAATAGACGAACCCTGGGACCGCAAAAAAGGGGGTCCTTTCAGGGATCCAATTCTTTGCTCCTAAAACGAAGAATTGGGATGTCCTATTGACTTGTCTGAGAAGAACCTAGACTTGTCTGTGGTTACTTGACTTGTTGTTGGGAGTGTGGTGAGTGTGAGAACATCTTTGTACTTCTGCAATCTGGCAGCTCATATCTGAGTTGTTGAGCACGCCCAAGGTGATGTTGAACTCATCCACATTGTTGAAGACGTTGGCTGCTGACCCATGACGAATGTACTCGATCACTTCAAAGCCTCAGTTCATGGGCGTAAACCATGACAGGCCATTGCTAATAGGTTGGAGGCCATCGCTAGTAGGTTGGAGGCCGTTGTTAGTAGGTTGAGTGTCCAGGATAAAAACAGGCTTCGGTTGAGGCTCAGTGGCTGGAGCTGGTCGGCAATTTAGGCTTTCCTACGCTTCACGTATGTCCTACGCTGACGGGAGGCCTCAGAAAGGGGTCTTTGGGATGACGGGAGTCTCGTCCTCCTTGGCTGTGATTGATTAGCTGTATGTGACTCCCTTCTTGACTGATTTGCTCTGGTATCGCTGGCGGAGGAATCCTCCGTTGATTCAGCTTCTTCCTGCTAAGTTTGGTTGTGCCCGTCTCTCATCTATCTTCTCTTGTCCATCACTGGCTCCAAGCCCTATGGTATCCATAACCCATCCCGTCTTCTCGCATAGCTTCTTCTAGGCCTCTCGATCCTTCGCTTTTGTTCAGCCGTTGCTGTTCTTATACTTGCTTCTTCTTGATGTGCTACGTTTACGTTTCCTATTAACCACTCAGAAGCTACATAAGAGAAAAAAGACTACTAGAGAAAAGGGAGGTAGGAGTAGAAAATGATATATTTCGAGTACTGAGATCTGAGAAAGAACACATTGATCAAGACTAACTGTAATCAAGGATCCAAGGGCTGTGTTGGAAATGGGAAAATTGAGAGTAAAGGGAGGAGCAATGGATGTCACTAGCAAAAGAAGACAAAACAAGACACAAACCTATGCCGAAGGCTAAAGGGAGGTGCCGCCAAAAGGTTCTGTTATAAATGACATTCGGATTTGTTTCTTGTCTTTTCTGGTCCTACAAATGCAATGTTGCACAGTTGCAAATGTACCTTCACATGAAGTGGGTTTCCTTGCGCATGGATCGAGACGCATGGATGCAGATTCTGTCTGTCAAACTGTTTTCTTGTTCGGGGTGCACTACTGTGGTACAGGGAGCATGACCCACAACCAAGTCTGATTTCAAGAAAACAGAGCCAACGCCTTTAGCGCCTCAACACCTCAGCGCATCGCAAGCAAGCTTTCTGCTGACCAGGCAGCTTGTGTTGAGCAGCCTCAGGTGCACGAACTCTCAAGCCCCTTTTCCAACACAAGTCGGAAGCTTGACTCCTTCAGCTTTCAGTCTTTAAAAGTTGGATGTGTGTTTTCACTGAAACTTCGCCCCCCATGACCCCATGAACGATCGCCAAACCAAGCGGCGTCTGGGCATAGTTCCCAACCAAACGAGAATCTCCTCTGTATGGGATATCCTGGCGGATCTCCGGGTTCACTCTGTCGCCGAGAAGTCGTGTACCGTGTACCTACACTACCCTCCGAGCGATCGCCCAGCGCCGCTCTCCGTGTCGAGGAGTCGAGTTACACCGGCACGTGTGTCACTTAAAACGAACGTCACACAGAGCTCTGTGGTGTCTCCCCGATCACGTCGATCACGTCGATCCCTTCTGAAAGTGGATCCAGCTATGCCAGCTATCCCCCACCTGCCAACTCCGCCTCTCGACCGCCCGAAACCATAGACCCGTCTGGCCGGATCGGTGGCAGTGGGGTCCGCCCCGCGGTGGGTCCCGGTGCTTCGGATCCATCCGGTTGGGTCGTCATCCGGTAGAGCACCGTGGCACGGTGGGATCGACCGACCGTCCATCGACAGGTCATGGGTTGGATCGATGGAATGACATGAATTCGGATCCAACCCATGACCTCCACCGGCCGGCTGGTTTGGCGGGCGTTTCAAGCGGTCTCCTGCGCGTTGGCGTATTCCTCCAGCGTGAGCGCGGCCATGCGCACGTCGAAGGCGGTTCCTGGGCCAAGCGGTGGAGAAGCATCGTGGGGTTTCGGGGGGTGTCACATCAAGTGATTTGGCCGCTTGGAGCCGAGGCGGAGGCAAATGATCTTGGGCCAATTCTAGGTGTGGAGCTCGCTGCACGCAACCGCCAGCTCAGCTACAACCATCAAGAACCAGACGGACAAGGTCACCATTCGATCGAAGAGAGACAAGGCATCTCCTCTTCACTGGGATGCACAAACCATCAAAAACAAGGTTTTCCCTAGCAAAAAACATGGTTTTTGCATGTGAAACATGTCTTTTTCATGGTTTTGAGGGTCCCTGGTCTTCACTGGGATCCACCAAGGTCTTTCCCTTTCCAGTCTCCCACGTCGCTTGCATCGCTTCGGAAGGTTGGTCGCTGTCGTCCAGTCCAGAGACGGACGGCCAGCGGGATTGGCTGCGACTCGGATCGGTAGGGGTGACAAAGCAGTGGAACTGGGTGATCGTCTCAGTATGTCCAAGCAGTGTTCCGGATAACACCTCAACTACAGTAGGGCACTCGGTAGTTGAGATAAGACCTTATGTCCCGAAGGTCATCTTGAGGGCAACGTAGTAGGGAAAACCAAACTGAGCCCTCTTGTCCACTCCTCTTGTGGCCCCCAAAGTAAGTAAGCTCCATGAACTTTGGTTTCTGCCCACACACACATACACAAAGAATCACGCCTATATTGAATGCCTTGGTTTTCACCCCTCTTTCAGCTATTCGAGCTCTCCCCGAAAGGGGCCCACACAAGCAAAGCAGAATCTCCTCCGCTCCGTTCCTTTCTCCAAAGGGCTCAACTTATTGGTATAGATTTCGGTGTCCAGGATCTCGACGAGGCGTGCCATCCAGGGATGCGTCAAGTTGTAGATGGCATTGCCATTGATGTGGAATAACCTCAGAACCGCTGAACCGCCGAACCGCTGACCCAACCCCGGAGAGCTGTTCGAATCCGAGCCGAGTGCTTTACGGGAAGCTCATTGGTGTGGACCTCAGATTCCCTTATACAAGTGGCCACAGCAATCACTTTTGGAGCTTCAGAACCCTAGACTAATTCACCCATGATTGACTTGGGATGGATATGGATTGGTGTTCTGCTACATCTCCGATCTCCACCGGAAGACTTCGCCGGCCCGAAAAACGGCGCAGGGGGTTTTTCAACGTCCAAGCTGCACATCTTGAGGAATGTCTGACAAATAGGCATCCCAAGTGTCACCTGTTGAGCCGGCGGATCTTTTGCGTAGGCGTTTTGGATGCGAAGCGTTCTCGTTCATTTCCCTTTCCCGCAGAAAGAGGCGCGGGAAGGGGGGAGGCCGGTAGCAGAACTGCGGTAGGTCTTTTTGTCTTTTCATGTGAAGATGGCTGGATCCGTCCCGGCTTCTCCAGTGCGACCGACTCCGGTCCTGAGTGGTGTTTTCTTCAATAGCCTCGTAAAGAGGTGAGGAACGTGGTGTACCAAAAGCACCGCGCGAGTTCGGAGGGTTCTGGTGGATGGTCATTTGTTTGCCACACAAGAAGAGCCCAGCGAAGAGACCAGCGAGTGCCTCTTTTTCAGGGATCCGGTCTGGTCCCCCCGAGGGTCTTCCCAAGACATCGAAAATCCTTAGACTGATGGGTTCGAATCCAAACTAAACAACCACATGGGGCGTGGCCGCGGCGGGCACTGCTCATCGACTCCGCCACGGCTGCTCACTACAGACCGACGAACTCGTCGCGACGGCAGGCTTTTCGCCTCGATAGCGGCTCCCGCGAATGGCGGTGAAGGGATCATAGGCTTCGGAGATGAACTGCATCAGCCAGTTGCTGCGAACCGGCTCCTTAGGGCGACTCAAAAATCTGCCCACATGCCACCACCACGCTTACTGACACGCCGCCTCCACACGGCCTCCAGCGCTTTGAAAAACGAGAACAACACAAACACTCCTTCATTTCGGCCACAGCTGGCTTCTGGCACCCCCCTTCCCAACACCACAGCCACCAGCCTTAACCCACACCAACACCAACACCTGCGTTGGCAGCTCTTTGCCCAAGGGACCGCATCCAGCTCCATGAAGAACATGGCATCATACGTCCCAAAGGTCCCATCCTCCGCAGCGCAGCAGAGTGGAACAGCAGCAGAACAGCGGCTGAACCGCAGGTACATGATGAAGGACATGCTGGGCAACTGGGACGGGGGCAACTGGGACGAAACACCGAACTGGGACGAAAGCTTCCAAGTCTCGAGGAAGTGTCGGACTCTCGGAGCTGGAGACAACATCCATCCATGAATGGGTCAACCTCTAAAGCCAGACTCAGATCTAGATCTGTCTCCATCGACTGTAGCGGTCGGAAAGCCGAGTTCCGCCCCAGTGGGAGATCTCGCGAGCTAGGCTCGCACCCTGGAGCGAGTTAGCCCGCTGCGATCGGGTCACATAGAAGGAATTCATGATGAAATTGAAGACCATATTGGGACCATTTGCCCAATCGTTCCGTGCAGAATACCCACGGATGTCCTGAGTGCGCCGAGGAGGACGGACCGGAGACCGCCATGGGTATTATGTGATGGGTATATAATAATACGGTATATGGGTATTTGGTATACTGGTTCGCTTCCTGGAAAGGGTGGTATACTGGTTCCCTTCCTGGAAAGGGTGGTATGGTATTTCGCTCATATACTCAAAACCATTCTTCTGGTGAATTCGCGGCTCTGCCAGTCTTCGGCTCGCCTCAGCTCGCCTCATCCGATTTTCGAGGCCCTTTTGGAAGTCGGAGGCAGGCGGACGACTGGAAGTCGGCGGGAGTTAACTCAAGTCTGCAGCAAACTCCCATCAAGCGAGTGGAAGTGGAAGTGACGAGATGATCCGGATGTCTACAAAAGATGGAATTCTCATGGGCCAACGTGGATGTCATAGCATGTCATAGCCCTGAGTTCAGATGACCCTTCTTCCTCAGTTCTACAAGGGGTTTCCACTGCGATGCAGGGAGTGTCCAGCCTTTGCAGGTGGGGACGGATCGCTTGCCAGTGACCCCCTAGCAGCGGTGCCATGGGACCCCTGGTGGAAGGGGTGGAGGTTCGGGGTCTCCTGGTTTTCAGTGCTGGCAGCTGTTTGCTCAAAAGGCCCCTGCTGCGACCACTGTCTGACCACTGTCAGCTCCGTTCCGTGATGGAGAAAAAAAAAGAGACATGGAGGAGAACCACCATGGTCTGTTTTCCATTGGGGCAGTTGCCATGCTTCATGTACCACGAGAGGGGCAAGGGGCATAGAGAAAGAAGGAACCATCTGAACAAACACCTTCGCTACTCTTGGAGAATCAAAACCTCGCATTCACACTGACTGTCAATTGACCACCTCACACAACCACCAAAGCACCAGCAAACCAAAATAAAAGCTAGTGCGAAAAAGGGGTAGCAGCGGCACCCGAAGTCCGCAAACACGAAAACAAGAGGGCGCACTGAAGCGCCGCGGCCGCGCCTTTTGCAAGGCAACTGCCCTCCCAGTCTTGAGAGGGAACGACGGTAAGTGAAGTTCGAAAACAGTTCGAACTTGGTGGGTGCCTGGGCCTCTTTGACTGTTGGGAGCCCCCCAATGCTCTGAACTATATATAAATTTCTTTGAACTATATATAAATTGCTTTGAACTATATATAAATATCTCTGAACTATATATAGAAATGAGGCCCAGGCACCCTCTTGTCACATGTTCCATGTAATTCCATGTGTGTGTACCTCTGTGCTGTGTCCAGATTTATCCTGCCCCAACGGAAGTCTTTGGCTGAGTTTCTGCAAACCCCTTGAATCCAACCAAAACATAACTCAACTCCAAAGGCCAAAGAAATTCCCTTTGGGGCCGGACATCCCCGGACACTGTAAGCCGCAAAACTCAACGCAAAACTGTTTTTACTCCCTCATCAGTTTAGTGTGTGTCTCCCCAACTGCTCACAGACGATGATTCTCACCGCCTTGCAAAATTCCTGACTATCTACCAGGAACTTCAAAATTATTCACTGCTCCCTCGAAGAAGCAGTTCCTCCCCTGTGTCACTTTTGGCCGGCTTTCGCCCGGGTCTTCTTGGCTGGCTTTTCAGCCGCTGCTGGATCCTTCCTGGGCTGTGGTGTCTTCTTGATGTTTGATCTGATGGAAATGTGGTCAGGCAAAATTGGGTGGACAGATCCCAAAAGATCTCAAACCAATTGTGGGTTGGCAGAACTTTGCAAAAGATTGCAACAGAGTTGATGTGGGATTGATTGATCTGAGAAATGTTTGAAGGGGCCCGAAACAACAATTGGATGATGGGAGGAAGGCCGGGAACCAGGAATGTCAAAGTTACATTGCCTACATAAACAAAAATCAACAACCTGCCCAAACTCTTGTGAGCCACCTCTTGGCTCCCTTGCCCTTGGTCGCTGGCACTTCGGCCGGATCGCGTCCAAAGGCATCCACCCTTGTCTTGAGTGCCGGTGGCAAGTCTGTGAGGCTAAGGCCAAACTTCTGACTGACAAACAAGCTGATCTTCCGAACATGGGAAAGCTTCACGTCCAAACTCTCCTTCTGGAGTTTCGGGTTCTCCAAAACGACCACAAACGAAGTGCACGCCACGATCTTTGAGGCATCTTTCCGGGAGGCCTGTTGAAAGAGTCGGAATGGGCGGCCTTTGAATGCTACCCGATCCCAAGTTTTACTTCAAGATTGGGTTTGAATAACTTGGAGTCCAAGGAATTGGATTTGACATGGATTTGACCAACCAACCATAACCGACCTGTTTATCAGCCCCCATTGAGCTGGCAGAATGTAAACTTCAAACTCTAACACGCAAACGAAAAAACACTGCAACTGCAACATGCAAAGACTGGCCTCCATTTCCTTCTTGATGGCGGTAAACGCCTGGAATACATCATGAGATTTCCAGGTAGACCCCTTCATGAGCGCCAAAGATGAGCGACACCATCCATCGAAGCCATTGCAATTCTCCACAAAGCGGGTTAGGCCCTTCATGTCGTTCTCTACCTCAGGGCTCTCAACGCAAAGGTCCTTCACCCCGTCCAATTGCCAAATCTCCACAGCAGGCAGGATCTTCCTGCGGTCCGGCCGTGGAACTGAACTGAAATTGGACATGCAAGAAAGAAAGGGTTCTAAGGGCTCGCAACCTCGAATCATGGGCAGCAAAGACTAAGACGCGGGAGAAGGTAGTATGGGAATGGGAAGAAAACATGTCAATGTCTAACCAGCCTGTACTTGACAATCCGTTCAGCATTCTTCTGGATGCACTTGCGGAGTTTGCCCACCTCATCTAGGACGTTCGTCTGCACAGACTTCGTGTAGCTTGCCACCGTTGGAGACAAGTCAGGAAACAAATCCGCCAGCGTGGGGTAATCCAGTGACTCGACCTTGACGAAGGTCTTCATTCGGATGGAAAGCTCCTCGAAGAGATCTGTGGGCTCCGGCACCTTCAGATCTTCCAAGAACTTCATTTGATCCAAGATTGCCGCAATGTTGCACAGACTGACCAAAGTCCTGGGCGGCGGGCATTCCTGAAAAAGCTTCAGGACATCTGCCTTCTCGCCCTGCTGTGTCTTGTTCTTCACCCACACGGTTGTCGCAGAGCACAAAGCTGATGAAAAGCGGGCAAGTGCACTCTCAAAGTGTTGAACCCAATCTGGCAACTTCTCTGTGGATTTCGACTTGCCCAAGAGTGAGTCCAATGCTCCATGGACCGCAAGACACCTTTTGATAATGTCTTCGGAGAGAACCAAAGCAGGTTCTTCTGGGAGATCCTGGCTGAACTTGTAGAGCGTGCTGCCCAACTCCATGAGGATTGAATTCGCAACCTCCTCCTCGTGTAGAAGCAGGCCACGAACTGCACCTGTCCAAGTCTAGTCCCACCCAGCGACATGAGTCTGAGTCATTCTGAGTCTGAAGTCTGAACAAAATTGCAAAATTGAAAAATCCAAAACTGGGGCCCCACAATATTAAGTCCAATCCAGTACAGTATGAGGGGGCGGGCCCAGCATATAAACCGAATCGCCTTGGACGCATACTCGCTGAAGCATTGGGAGAGGATCAAGCTCGCTGAAACCACTTGTAGTCAATGCACATTGCTGCTTCTGCCATTGACCATCCAAAAAGTCTGAAAGCTCTAGGCTGCTGTGGAACTCGGAATCGATCAATTGACGCAGCTCTTTGACTTCCTCCTCAAGAGAAGTGGCCTTGGCCACTGAGTCTTCATCTGACGACCCCTTGCAAACAGTCACCACATCGAGGCACTGCTTGCTAGCTTTGGCGTCCTGGCAGATTTGCTCAGTGATCTTTGGGTCAATCTTCTCATCAGACCAGGATTTCACAGAGGAGATGACCTTCTTCAAGGCGGCTGCGCAACCATCAAGTTTTTCCAAAGCAACCTTCTCGTCCAACACCCTCTTGGTGCTTTGAAGAACTCGACTCCAAAGAGTCCTGACTCACTGAGTTGCACACACCCTCCAAACAGCGGCACTAAAGCTTTCAAAAGGAATCAGGAACCAGGAAGGAAGACATAGCGGTACGTAAGTCATGTCACGTCAGGAGTACTGTACTGTCAGAGGCAAAGGGGACGGTATGCGTGATATTGGCAACCGGTCCGTCCTGAGCCTTCCAATTTTGAAGATCAATGAGACACGTGCAGAAGCCTTTCCAGTGGCTGAGACGACGGCCTTGAAGTCAGCTATCTCAGAGGCAGATAGCCTGTTGCAAGCGCTTTCATCTTGGACACGTGCAGCCGCGAGGAACTTGTGCAAGTCCAGCGTCAATTTGCAGCACATACCAAAGCCATCTGCCACAGAGGTGCTTGATGATGTGTCCTCTGCCCAGGCCCTGAGAAAAGGAAGAAGCTAACAAATTATGACTCAGACTCACCTCAATGCTCAAATGTCTGTGTTGGGCAAGGTTTCTAATTCACGCTGACTGACGCCTGACGCTTATTTCCAAGTGCCCTAACTAATCCGGCTGCTACTACGGACACCCTAAATACAGGACTTCAAAGCTTGCCTTGTGGAGTGGGGAGTCCACAAATCACCAGGGATGCCATTGAGCGCTGCGTCGATCTGTGCATCTGATAGATTTTTCATGCGTTCCACCCATGAATTGAACAAGTTCAACTGAACCTTGATCAGGTCTGCCACATCAAGAGTGCACTCTCCGCATTCTGAGATTGAACGTAAGGACAGGCCGCTGCTTTTGCCATTCAAAGACAGGAACTGGAAGAACACGGAGCTGTTGCGGGCATAGTCTGTGGAATCCTTCCAAATGGTGAAGGTGGGAACTTCCAACTGCTAATTAAATGTCCAAACATTGTAAGTTGGGAATTGGGAAGGTTGGAATGAAAGAACATTGGTGTGAATTTGAATTGCATAAAAAAAATTAACAAACACTGAGAAGGGGCCTCCAAAAACTTCTTCCCACATCCTTGAAGCACTGCAGTCAGACAATCTGCACGAAGGGCCGCCAATTGCTGAACATCACCCTGTGGCATGGTGGGGAAAT